AAAGGAAGGTTCGGACTCATGGGTTCCCATCCAAAATTTAGCATATTAGTTTTTGGGGTTAATCCCAGAACCAGAGTTGAAAGTAGATAGCCTGGCCACTTGGGAATCTTGTCCCCTCTTCCCCCAGTCGTAGATCTGGAGCAGTATGCAGACGGAGACTTTATGTTGCGTCACCGCGAAAGCCCCCGGCGGTTTGACAATACCCGCCATTCTCGCTGTCGCAGGTTTGGCTCAGAGCGAAGGGGAGTGAAGTCTCCATGGAAATCAAAACCCAGTCGCAGGAACAAGGTAAGAGAGAAGCAAAAATAAAAGGTTGAAACTTGAAATTATTGGGCTCCAAAACTGTTAGGGAAGAGTCTTAGCTTCGGTTAATCGTATATAAAGGAAAGAGAGATTTAGTTTCTTGGGTTTTACAGATATCACGGTGGACAGTGGTGGTTGTTTCACGGTGGTGAGATGAAAAAATGAAAAAGAACCGACATAGCTTTTCGTGTCGTTTCCCACAAACGGCGCCAAATGTTGATGCACAAAACCGGAGAGGTCTTGAAACAACGTAAATCCGACCGTGAATCTGCAAGATAGTAAATAACACAAGATGTATCGTGGTTCACCCCAATATTTGGGCTACGTCCACACTAATATTGTATTTCTCTATTTATGAGAGGATTGTGAGGAAGAGAGAGCTTGAATATGAGAGTGAGGCTTTGCTTTGAATCTCAGAGCTTGAGGATTGTGAGGGTGAGAAGGCCCTTTTATAGACTAAGGGCTCCTCCTATTTTTACATATTTGCCCCTTCATTTATTACATAATTACATTTGAGTCCCCCGAGTATTTATACGAGATCTAAATACGAAGGCCCTAAGTATGGTACAAACAAAACCTATGATATGTCTGAGTCTACATGTCTTGATACTCTTGAACAATTATGTGACACAATTGTTCATGTTTACAAAGACGAGTACCTCTGCGAGCCAAATCAAGAAGATATGAATCGGCTTCTTTGCAAAGCTGAAAATTGTGGGTTTCCAGGCATAATAGGGTCATTAGACTGCATGCATTGGGATTGGAAGAACTGTCCCACCGGATGGCAATAAGGCTTTAGCGGAAGGTCAAGAAAGCCAACTATTATGTTAAAGGCGGTTGCCTCATATGATACATGGATCTGTCATGCTTTCTTTGGAGTCCTTGGATCCCAAAATGACATTACAGTTCTTGGGCGTTCACACCTCTTCAATTGCCTGACGGAAGGTAAAGCACCTCAACTTGACTACTACATTAAATGTCGTCAATACAATATGGGGTATTACTTGGCAGATGACATCTACCCAAAGTGGGCGACACTTGTGTAACGCCCCGCCCCCGAAATAGTTATTTCGGGAAATGATTTTGATGATAGGCCCAATTTAATTCTCTTGATTAACTTACTATCAAAAGTTAAAGGTTCTTTACTTTAAATTCCTTAATTTCACAAATGGTCTAAACCATAATTCTCTTATCAACACACACCATTATTCAATTATTTTACCAATTTATTTCCATTTTCTTCTCTTAGATTAAGATTCCAACTAAATATTAATTTTCGATTATTTAAGGCTGCATCTAACGCTGTTAGCCTGCCTACGTACCCTTGAGCGGGATCAAGCCTTTCATAATTCACATTTCAATTTCAAATCTTTCCCAAAAATATTCAACGAACGGAAATGTTTCACATTAGTGTTACTTTATCAAAACCCTTCAATTTAATATCAAATACGTACTTAGAATAATGAAATATGCATCAAATGGCGGTGTCAGCCCCCTGGTAATGCGCCGCTGCCGGTGGCAGTGGGCCGCCTCGACTTGCTGGAAAAATACAACTAATTCTAAAAATTCTAAAAATTTACAGAAATGAAGATCTCAATGAGTAAAGCAAACTTTATACTTGTGGCCAAATACAATTTGGCCTGAAAACACCACAAATCGGCCTCGAACCGTCGGAAACCCAAGAAATAGGTTGTTTCAATCCATCATTTCTGGTGTTCCGCCGCCCCCAAGGTGGTTTGAGTTTTGTTCCTGGACTCCCTAGGACTCGAACCACGGTGGAAATTGACCGTGTTACTTTCACAATTGGCGAAATCAACACTGTCCACCCCGTGCACACATCGGTGCATTTTCCACGGGACTTAAGCTGAAATATCTCAAATTTCTTGCTATAATTTAGATAGGGGAGGTCGAAAACACTCTCCCAAGGCATAAATTGAAGAAATTCAACGGAAGTAAGACAGAAAACCATCGAAAACCGTCGCGGGAGCCGATAATCCGAGTCGGGTCATTGGGTCCAAGGTGATCCGGTGTCTCCACCTTCTCTCATTTCCCATCCCGACTACCTTCTCCCATTTGTCCCCCTCCCCCTTTCCTTCTTCCTTTTTCTCCTTTCTAACCTTTTCTTTTCATCATAGCCGTCCCTTTTCTTTTCATCTTTCATCTCGACCACACACGTGGCACAACACTTTGCTCAAGATTTCTGGAGCCTTCTAAATGGAAATAAAATTACCAAAATATCACTGACTTTAAACGTTAATAACTTCTTCATTATAACTCCGTTTCATGAACGGTTTGCGCCTGCGTGTTCGTGAGATCGAGCTCTATTAAAAAATATAAATTGTGACCTTAAAAGGTCTACGGTTTTTAAATAATTAATTTTCAAACTTCAAACTTCGTAACTAGTTTAATTTAAAACTAAACTCAAGTAAATTAATATAATTTCTCAAAAAATAACATAATATCTCAATAATCTAAATACGTAAATTATAATAATTTCCGGAACAAAACTTTAAAATTTCCCAATTCTATTTCCATAACCATAAATCGATTTATTTTCGATTTTCCTCCACATATTCATATATTTAAAATTTCAGGGTATTACAAGTTGTCCAAGAAATTCCAAACCCTAGGAATGATGTGGAAAAGTTGTTTACCTTACACCAAGAGGCATATCGGAAAGATGTTGAGAGAGCTTTCGGTATTCTACAAGCACGGTGGAAGATCATCAGTGAACCGGCAAGAGGGTGGAGTCGAGAAAATTTGGACTCCATCATGATGTCTTGCATCATATTACACAATATGATAGTGGAGGATGAGCGAGATGGGTATATTGATAGAGAGTCCGATGACGACCAAGAAGATCCAAATAGATCAAGAAGGGCTGGTGCAAAAATATATGATAGGCCTAATTTGCCTTTTAATCCAAGAACTGGTAGTATCTCTATAAATGAGTACATGAGGCGCTATAGAATGAGACGTTCTCGTGCCACAAATAAGTGCCTACAACAGGATCTTGTTGCACATCTTTGGGCCAAAAGAAGCATGGAGTAAGCGTTTAAGTTTTACGTTGTTAAATGTTTTTAAAAATGTTGTTTAAGTTTCATGTTGTTAAATATTTTTTTTATGTTGTATAATTTTTATGTTGGTTAATATTATTTAATGTTGTTTCATATTGTTTAATGTTGTTTCATGTTACTTAATTTAATTTAATGTTGTATAATGGCTTAGGAAATTATAGGAAAAAAATAGAATTTAAAAAAAAATATGAAACAAATTTTGTAAATTAGAAGTTATAGGAAAAAATAGAATTTAACAAAAATATGAAACAAATTTTGTAAAATAGAAGTTATAGGAAAAAAAATAGAATTAAAAAAAAATATGAAACAAATTTTGTGAAATAGAAGTTATAGGAAAATATGGAATTTAAAAAAAATATGAAACAAATTTTGTAAAATAGAAGTTATAGGAAAAAAAAATAGAATTTAAAAAAATATATATGAAACAAATTTTGTGAAATAGAAGTTATAGGAAAAATGGAATTTAAAAAAATATGAAACAAATTTTGTAAAATAGAAGTTATAGGAAGTTATAGAAAAAAAATAGAATTTTAAAATAGAAGTTATAGGAAATTTTTTGTAAATAAAAATAAATAAATAAAACTGTAAAAAAAAAATTCAAAAATAACGGCTAGTTGACATCAGCTAGCCATTATATTCAAAATTTTCCCTACTATTCGTGTCGGTTATAACCGACATTATTGCTCTTAATCCTGTCGGTAACATCCGATAGGAAATCTAACAGTTTTAAGCAAAAATAGAAGCCAACCCTTTAGTCCTTTTGGATTCTGTGAGGCCTACGAGCCATATGGCCTAGCCCTCGGTTGGAGACGATTTTCAGGCTATTTTTGGCCCTTTGAATCTTTTGGTTGGAGATGACCTTACCACAAAAAAAAAGGATAAAGAAACAAATGACATCAATTAGAGTCTAATAATTGTGTACTAGTACCTATAATTATGGATCATCGATTTTGGAAGAATGTTAAGGAACATCTTAGGGCTGGTTTGGTATTACTATGCTTTGAAAAAAAAAGCTGCTTTTGCTGTGCTGTGAGAATAAACAACTGTGAAATAAAGTAACAGAGTGTTTAGTAAACCTTTTTGTAAAAGTGCTTTTGGAAAAGAAAAAAATAAGCAGTATTATAGTGTTTGTTAAATTTTTATGTAAAACAGCTGTAACTGTGTGAAATGACCAAAAAAATGTATAATACTAGATGTGCCATTAATTTAATTTTCTTAAGTCTTCCCCATTTATTTTCTCCATATGCATCGAGAAGTCTCTCCCACTACCCCACTACTGAACTAGACTAGGCTAGGTCACCAACATATTCCACTCCCTTATCGAAGACCACCACCGCATCAATACCAACCGCAATCCCTCGAACACAATCCCTGCTCTCTCGACAAAGATTTGGGAGAAGTTGTGGGAGAGTTCCCACTTAATTGTCTACTACATTTTTCACAAGTTTTAAATTGGGGCCATAGCAGTATGGTGGAAATTATTCAAAGGCTTATGTGCCCACCTTATTAGACAAGTGGGTATCCATATATCAGTATCTTGAAAGGTACTTAGTTGAGAAGAGTAGTAGATATGGAAAGAAGATGAAGATGCTTGAACTAGGAATGCAGGAGATAAGAATATATTTCAGGCTCTTCTTGTTATCGTCTGTTCTTTTAATGTTCATGTTCTGTTCCATAATTTCAAAAAAGCAAGTGTGCTAGACCAATTGTTTATGCTATTGCAATATGATATTAAGAAACAACTACGTGTTAAAAAGCTTCGTGTTGTACTGTATTGATCGACGAGCTTCCTTTCACTTATGACGCCCTTGCGGGACGCCTCGAGTGGGTTGACGTCGTCAATGTCCATGTCCATGGTGGAGCCCTAGTCTTCCGTGTCGTTGAAGAAGTCCATCATCGCCGGCCTCGTCACTCTGAAACCTAGATTACCTAGAATCGCAGATCACTCATATTACCGAGAAATCCAAATCTTCCAATTCTACCTTCCAATTATTCAATTCAATATTCCAATTACCCAGAAATAGAGGTTGAAAAAAGGAAATTTACCTTTTTATTGATGAAGAGTGCTCAAACCAGATGAGAGGGAGAGATCGAGCTCGAACGGAAAGAGAAAGAGCTGGACAAAGGGAGTGGGTGAGAGAGAACAACGAAGAGATGGGTGAGGGTAGGTTTGGGAATTTGGAAGTTTCATTTAATGAACACTATTCATCGGTGTTTTGGAGAAAAGAAGCTTGTTTTTCAAAGCTCATTTTTGTTGCTTCAAGTTTTTAGCTTATTTTCATCCAAAATTGTGAAAATAAACTGTTTTAAATGTTTACCGGACATTTTTTTTAGCTTAGTTTTTTTTTTATACCCAATTTTTTTAAAAGAACCTCAGTACCAAACTAGTACTTAATGTCTTGAATCCACAATTATTTCCATGGAAATTATAATTTCTTGCATCACAAGAGTACATGTGATAGTAAATGCAATTTTTATACATAATTTGTGTTGAAACATCATAGCTCTCTCTCTCTCTCTCTCTCTTCAACCAAGAGACTTGACATTCAAACGAAAATTAGAAAAAAAAAAATCTTATATGGAACAGGTCCACTGTTCTTTTCATTGGAATGGATTGGGACCAGCTAAACTTGCCATTCAAATTTGGAATCCATCTTGGACCTGGAGTGGATAATGGATGGATTCACCAAAAAGAGAGGGGGGGGGGCAACTTAATATTGGCGAAAATAATAAGCAAGATAAACTTCAGGCAGCTTTTATTGACTTTTTTAAAAATTCATTTTTTACTTTTTATACGTTTTTATCAATTTGTAAATATTGGATCGAATAAATTGAAATAAAGCAATGGTAAAAAATTTAACAAAAGCATATAAAAAATAAAAATCATTGAAAAAACTCTTTTAAGTGAATTTTCAAAAACTATAAAAAAAAATTTAAAAAAAATTTAATCATTTGAACATTTATGAAAATGAGCAAAAACTCATCACACTAAACTTTGGTGTGGGTTCATTACTACATCTAATTACATGTCATGTTTAATTTTACTTAACTTTGATTAACTTTTTAAAAAATTACAAAAATAATATTTAATATGAAAGTTAAAGAGTAATGTGAAAAACCACATGACACATAATTAAATATATTATAAGCACACCGTAGTTATGATGGTAAGTAAAAATGCTTCATTTATGAAAATTTTGGATTGAGAATAAAGATATCTTGTGGTCAATGGGACATTCCCATCTGATGATAACATGGAGAGAGTGACAAGTGTCACCCTCCTGTAGACTCCAACACACCTTCTCTCTCACCCCCAAAGTCCCAAAGTTTCTCACTCATCACTCACTGAAACCTTCTCCTTCTCTTTATCTCTCCCTCATCAATCACTTCATTTACTTCACAAAACTCACTCACTCTCTCTCTCTCTCTCTCTCTCTCTCTCTCTCTCTCTAGAAAACGACCAAAAGGACAATCTTGTAGGCACATTGAACACAAGAAAGAAAGCACTACATCGCAAAGGCCAAAGAGCCCCCTTTGCTTCTCCCCCCCCCCATTTTTTCAATTAACCAAAAAAAAAAAAAAAACACAGAGAAATCCGGAAAGTTCGAGTCTTCTTCTGAGAGAAACTCAAATCCCAGCAAATAAAATTGGATTTTAGGGTAAAAAAAGGAAAATAAAAATTGGGATTCGATGGCGGAGATTCAACCGCAGCCGGTGAGTCAGATCAACGGCGGAGGGCAGTTCTTGACGGGTTCATCCGAGACGGTAGGATCGAAGCGACAGCGGAGGCCCAGCGTCCGATTGGGCGACATCGGAGGAGACCAGCCGTACGATTCGCAGGTGCGCCGCGCCACCAAGCAGTGGAAGTTCCCGCCGGACCACCGCAAAGACGCCAACAAGTCCTCAAAGATTCGACCTTTAACGAATTTGAGCTCAGTTGGGGAGTTCCATGAAACCCTAGACGGCGAAGACAGAGAGGGCAATCTTGATAGTGTTGCCATTGGGAGCTGGAAGGTCAAGGACGCCACGAAACGGGCTTCGAACGTCACCAAACGGGTCAGATCCAATTGGGTATCTTCCAAGATTGACGAAGGTGGCGGCGGCGGTGAAGGGGACGAGAAATTCAGTGGAGCAGAGGACGTTGATGAAGGGTATCATCGGGATTTCGAAGTCGAAAACTCGGAAAGTCCGTTGAAAGAGCAGAGCCCAATTCATAGTTCAGAGAATTTGGGCGTGGATGGGCGTGCCAATGGAAGGGAGCTGCTTTACCATGGAAGTAGAATACCCATTAGGACTAGGATTTCGGAGGGTAGGGACAACCATGATGGTATTGAGCTATCCGGGCCGTCGGATACCGATGCCAGGGATTGGAATTGCAGAGGAACAAGTGGGGAATAGAAGAATGAATTGGAAGGAAGATGTGGGGAAGATGGGGTTAGGGTTTGGCTCAATGGGTTAGGGTTAGGGCGGTATGCGCCGGTGTTTGAAATTCATGAGGTGGATGATGAGGTATTGCCCATGTTAACATTGGAGGACCTCAAGGATATGGGGATAAATGCAGTTAGGGTCAGGAGCTATTGTGCAATTCAGAAGCTTGGGGGATTTTCTTGACTTTTGCTTTGTGGAAATGAAACACCGATGAAAAGAAAAGTAATTGATGCCAATGTAAGTAAACATTGGTTTTTGGTTATATTTTTCTCCTCAACTCAGGTATTTTGGATAGATTTTGGCATTTTAAATTTCTTCTATCGTTACATTTGATCCTTATACTTCATTTTGATAGTAATGCTGAACTAGTTGTAGTCATCCATTGATCATAGTGAGACCGAGATGAGATATGTTGTTTCTTTTGCACTTATTTGGCTATTTTGTAGAACTGTTGAGCAGGAATTGGTATCAATTGTAATATCTCGTTTCCGTTCATTATTTCCACCAAGCATGTGGAATAGTTTTGAGCTGATGGCCCGTCTAATCTATATAATGATTTCCTAGATTGTCTTCTGTTGAATTTAAGCTTACTTTATCTATTAGGCCTCCTGTTTCTATGATGTACAGAGTTGTATATAGAAAACTATGTTATCTTACTGTTGCATTCGATTTTGGGTGATGCTGCAAAGCATTCCGCACATTTACTACAGGTTTTTTGCCGTAAATGTGGCGTTTATTTGGAGCCAGATTTGGTTAGTGGATCAACTGATCAAGTTAGACCAAGTATATACATATCTGGTTGGTTTATGAAAGAGTAGATATAGGCAAGGAGTTGAATTTTGGAAGTCCAATTTGGATTCTTGTGGTTAGGAGAGGGGGACTCCTGAAAGTTGAGATTAGATGTACAGAGTTGTATGGTTCTCTTAGGGTGATTAAAAGGTAGATTGGATGGCAGTGGAGGTGATGTTCTCCCGATGTTATCTTTCCCGCAGAACCAGGACGGGGATTTAGAGTCTAAGAGGTCAGGCATTGCTGTTACAATATCCTTGATCGAGGAGGGTTGAAGTTTAATGCTGAGTTGGTCAGAGGGAAAGCTTGCTTTCTAGTTCCAGAAGGCATTGCTTCCTTCACCAATCTTAACCCCGGTAAGATGAGCTTCTGCAGATCTAGGGCAGGGTTAACAAGGTTGAGTATCGCAGGGTATTAGTCGTGCATCTCTTCCAAAAGACGGTATAAAATGAAATTGTGAGACATGGATGTCTAGTGTTAGGAATCGCAGTTTGAGCACCGAGTCATCCAAGGCTCGATGAATTGCCTTCTTGTTGTACATGTAAAATTCAATACTGCATTGCATCTTGATTTTGTCTTCCCTATATATATATATATATTGACAAAGTTTAGGATTGGTAGCGTAGGTAACTTTCACTAGCTGGTTTTAGTTTCTCAATAATTTTCAGGAAGCATGACTTTGGTCTGTCAACAGTAAACAAATTCGAGTTTTATGATCAATGTGTACTTATGTCATCGTTATTCTGGTGTTTCCCAATATATGTGTGTACAAATCTACAAAGTTTCATGACGAATGTGGATTTAAGAGTTTTAAGTTTGTCTTCTTTTCTTTTTCCAGGGAAAGTTGAGCCTGCAAGACACCTATTTGTACGCGGTACGTATTTATGTAAAGGCTTTGCTTGTGTAGTTTTATCACCTTGTTTTTATAGTATGGTTAGTGAGTTTTCATTACTGCTGTATATGATTAGCCAACAGCTGCCGATAGAGGCATTTCATTAGAATTTACAACGGAACCAGGCCGTCTCTGAGATTTTGGGGCCTGTGCGAAATTTATAAAAAGGCTCCTTCTTAAGATAGCTTTTCAAAAAAAGTAAGACAATATATTGATGGTAGAAAACAATAACTTAAATCAAAACAAACTTAAAGACTCACTGATTGTAAATTTATAAATGTCATTAAACAATAAATAAAAAGAGCTACAAACATAACTTTTACTAAATAATCAAAATCACTCAATTTTACACAACCAATAAAAAAAATTCAAAAACTCTAACTTCAAAGTTTCACTTGAATATATAGCATTATTATATAATCGAATTGAAAAAAAAAAAAACTGTTTTTAGGTGTTGTTGTTAGCATTTCAAATATCTCATTGTACATTCCAAATTTTTATATTTAGAAAGGGAAAAAAAAAATTTCCACTTATGGATTATGAGGAGTGCACAATGAGATTTTAATGTTCTAATAAAATCAATTATTTTTTTAATATCTAGCATAATTACATATAAATTTTAGATGAAAATCTTTTTGGAGCTCCTCAAATTTGGGGTTCCTGATCGCTCTCCCCCAACGCCCCCTCTGAACGGAACCTGTTGATGGTCCGAGGTTCGGATTAGAAATCACTGTCTTTATCATACAAGATTAGTGAGGTCTCATCTAAGTTTTGCGAAACCCATCAATTTCTTCATCCTCGTCTTACTTTGCACTTCAATGTCATCCTTGTCGTCTAATTCTGTCGCGTGCAAATGCATGCTCTCTTGAAAAAATAAGTGACAAAGTTGTTACCTTTGGATTGCTGCAACATGGTTAGAGATGAATCGCAACAATTTAAACTTTCATGTATCAAAGTGGGATTTCCCCAAATTATAGACATCTGAATGATGAGAATTTCACAGCAGCCGTTGAGATTGATCTAACGGCTAAGAAGGGCGTTGTGCAAATATATGTTGTGTATATAGCTAAAGGTGGTTGTGCCTGTGAGCATGGGGTCCCACTCCCTCTGCTCTACTTCTCTCCGAATCTCCCATTCCGGATTACGCAGGCTGAGCAATTTGGACTTACAGGACATAAACTAAATTCATTCCTAATCAATACAACAGTGCTGAGGTAGAAACACACAACCGATATTCAAACGAGTGGGAGATGCATTTGTACAAATTTCATCGATACAATTTTACAAAGAAACCGATATAAAGATTTAATGGTATTATACATGACTAATAGCAAGTCCATCGGGAGTGGATTGCCAGGCACCTAGCACATTTTTAAGGCTAAATGCCTCACATTTTTCGGCAGGAATTTTTGCTGGATTGTAAGAGCAAGTCCATCGGGAGTGGATTGTCAGGCACCCATCACCCAAAACAGGCCGGCCCCTTGCCAAATCACTTCAGTCCAGCCTAATAGGCTGGCACCCAACCCAAGCCTAGACCGGACCCAGAATCGACAAACCCAACAACTGGGGCATCTGAATCGTTCGGGTGTGCATCGTTGGGCAAAGTTGCCATCATGGGCACACAAGTCTGACCTGCGGAGACAGAGGCTACCTGAGAACGGTCCGATTTAAGAGCAACAGTAAGTGGCGCCACATGCAGAATGAAGATAAGTGTTGGCAGGGATGAAAGCAGCAATAGTGCTGTGGTGGAGTTAGGGCTTGAAGGCGCCGACGAGCAACCCAATGGTGGAAAGTGTGATGAGGTTTGAATGGATCTTACTGGCAAGGACGGAACCCATATAGAAATGAGAAAGAAAGAGCAACCCAGTCCCCATCCAACTAGTGGTACCAAGTGATGGAACCCATTTAGAAAGTCAAAAGAAAAGGGCAAATCCAAAGAAATTAAGAAAGTAAACAATTAGTAATATTTTTTTTATAAAGTCAGAAATTAAAAATAAAATTTTATTTATTTATTATTTTATAATAAAAATAATAAGAATTTAATAAAATTGAGTTGGCTATTTTTTGTTAAGGGTGAAGATGCATTTGGTCTATTACTGTTTATTGGGTCTATCATTGTTCATTTAGTGGATTAAATAGGATGGATGCTGGCGCTTTTAGGAGTGTACCTGCTCTAAAAACATTATGCGAATTACAGGGGAAATCGTTGTCTCCGAGAACCTGAAAGCCCATCGTCTACAACTCCGACCACAAGAAGTTCGTTGTTTTCGCGAATCCGTCTGAGTTTTGAGCCCCTCTACTAGTACCGTCCTCTCCAAAAATGACCTTCATAGAAGATATGATCTGTTGAGCAGCTGGAGGTGAAGGCGAAAATGATGCGAGGGCGAGGAAATGAGAAGCGAAAACTAGGTTAACAAAAATGAACAAGAGTACCAACCTCGGATGCAGCTATATAACCATCACATGATTCATGCTGGGCAGCCTTCTAACTTTGTATTTTATAGGATTAAGTATTATGTTTTCTATGGTTGATGAGCTAAAATGTCGAAAAAATAGGTCTTCGTTAATGTTGTATATGCTGTGAAACAAAATGCAGTGCGTGACTGTGATGTTTAGTTGTCTATCAAGCCTTCGAAATCCCCAAATTTTGTAATTTTCAAGTTGTTAAAAAAAACATGTAGAGGGATGAAAAAAAGGGTAAATGGGTAAAAAAAAGGATAAATGGGTTCAAAAACGGATAAATGGTTATGGTTAAATGGGTAAACGGTTATGGTTAAATGGGTACACGGTTATGAGTATGATTAACCATTTATAAACGGTTATGGGTACGGGTATAACCGTTTATGCAATTACCCAACGGGTAAACGATTATGCCGGTATGAATATAAACGGTTATGAGTAAATAACCGCGGTTACCCGCCCACTATAACATTGCCCATCCCTACACATGAACCAAATGGTTTTGTAAAAGTTGCCATTATTATAGCACATCTGCAGTGTCGACGCCTAATAATTCACAGACATCTCTTCCCATTTTTCCAACTGCTCCGATGCTGAGAGCCTCATCCCAGTACACATATGCCTGCAACAAACACCAAGGAGACAGCAATGGTAATGCTTAGTTCATCTGTTGAAAAAACACTAAAGTGAAATTATTCTGAAAAGATCACTTGGCAATCTAACAAGTACATCACCTTGTATTTCTTACAGGTTGCAACAACCTCTACAACAACGATTATGTTCTTCCACGCCTATGTGTTATAGGTTGCCCCTCAACTATTTGCTCTCTCAAAATCTTCTCCAAGCGCCAAGGCGCTAAAACAATCAAGATATAGAGAGCCAAATAAGTAAAGAGAGCTTCAGATTCAATCGCGCTCGCGATGAGAGCGGTATAAAACTTACAATTACGCTCGAAATGTTCAACTTCCGCTCCTGAGCCTCGGGCATTACCCCCATTGACACGACTGCTACAAGTACTCACGGAAAACTTTTCCGATGACTGGATCCCACGAGGCGTGCAGTGCTCATCCGACGCAGCAAAGCCTAAATAATTATACGATCCCAAATAGAGAGACATACGTGTCTTTGCTGTTCATCTGCATCGAGCACATTTCGAATGATTAATCTGCGAAAATTGGAAGGAAACAAAGAAAGTTGGTTTAAAATTACTCACTTGAGTATATCCTCGGAAACACGTTCAACTACATCAAGAGCACTTGCTATTGGTCTTCCAAAGTAATCCTACACAGATTATCAACCACGGAACTTTGGCATCCTAATCTCAAATATGTGTGTATATATAGGTATATATGCAGGAAAGCATTTTGGTATTTTTATACAAGCGATATTCTAATTTAAACTAATTTAAGCTACATGCATTACACCATAAACTGCCTTTAATAGCATGTTTTTATAGCATATTTTTATGAAAATGCTTTTCTTTCTTTTTTTGAAAGAAATGTCATGTTACAACATTTAATAGCCTTTTAAAAACTTAAATAGGGTTTCTTGGCCATACGCTATCAAAAGTTTAAATATATATATTTTTTAAATAAAGTTTAACGCTAACAAAGAAAAGCAGCAGCTTAAAAGAAAAAAGAAACTCGATTTATAAATAAAAAATAGTTTTGGGTAAACTCATATTACGCAGAAGCACACTTTCTCCATCGTCCTGCTTGTCGTCTCCATCACAAATCTACGTTGTCGACTCAGAATATCACCATTGCAATCTATCTTTCTCGCATATCTTCACAATCGCATAGCCGCGCAACCACAATCACACAGCTGCACGCATCCACAATCGCAGTCAGTTCCCTATTGCAATCGCCATTGCAAGCTTGCAAGGTCAGATTAGACCAAATCATTGCTGCGGACATCCACAATCGCATGGAGTTCCCAATTTTACAAAAGTTACCTATATGCTCTAGGATTGGTAATTAGGGCTTGGATTTTATGAATCACATATATATGCTCGTTCATGTCTTCTATCACTCTCTTTGTGATTTTCATCTAATATAGATTTTTTTTTTTTGTAAATATTCTACCCTAGGATTGAAACTATAGGCAGATTATAAAAAAGTTGAAGCTAAATCGCAATCTCATTGTCGCACAAATAATGAGCTCGATCAGCATTGATAAGCTACAAATTACCCTTTATTTGGTAAGATTTGTAATTATGTAATTTCTTGGTGTCTAACTCGAAGCTTGATCAAGTACAGTTAGTTCTTACCCAATAGAGGGAGCTTTCTAGCTTATCAATGTTGGTTGAGCTCATTGTGCCACAACGAGATTGCGATATAGATTCAACTTTTTTATAATCTGGCTGGAGTTTCAATTCTGGGGTAGAATATTTACTAAAAACAAAACAAAAAAACAAAAATATACTATACTAGACGAAAATCACAAAGGGAAGGATAGAAGAATAAACAGCATATACGTAACTTTTGTAATCTAAAAACCCTAATTTGGAAAATGTTTCAGATGCAAATAAAATTTCTACAACCAAAGGCAGATGAAAATACTGGAATAAGCATACGATTTGATCTAATATGACCTTGCAGCTTGCAATGGCGATTGCAATTGGGAACTTACTGAGATTTTGGATGTGCGCAGCAGTGCGATTGTGGTTACGGGGCTATGCGATTGTGAAGATATGTGAAAGAGAGACTGCGATAGCGATTTTCAGAGTCTACGACGGAGACGTATGTGGCGACAATGACGACGACGGAGATTTGTGATGGCGACGGCGACCAGGACGACAGAGAGAGTGTGCTCTCTGAGCTTACACGAAACTATTTTTATAATCGAGCTTCTTTTTGCTTATAAGCTACCATGTTTCTTTGTTAGCATTAAACTTTATTTAAAAAAATATATACATATTTAAACTTTTGATAGTGTAGGAACGCTATATTCAGTTTTTAAAATGCTATTAAATGTTGTAACATGACATTTAATATCATTTTCATAAAAATTAAAAAAAAAAAAAAAAAACGCTATACAACATGCTATTAAAAGCAATTTTTGGTGTAGTGAGCCCAACCTGTTGGCGTTTGATTCCAATTTTTTATTCTTTTAGCAAGATTATAATTAAAACAATCTAATTTGTACAAATACTCTAACTTACGGAGAGCAAAGTTTGAGCTTGAGTGCAAAGGAGACGGGAACATTTTCTTTACTAACTAGCCGAATTCACATATGAGAGATTAGATCATATTTTTGTATGAACAAACCATATAAACAAGTTGAATATCAGAGTGCGACATAACCAAGACTACAAAATGATAGGAATATTATTAAACAAACAAGAATGTCGAAACGGCTACAAAATTTCAAGAGGCTACATCGTGACTAATATTTTCTCGACTGAATAACAAGCATGCTATTTATAATAAACTAACTCTAATCCTAAAAGGTAAGAAATCAAAACCCTAATACTAACTGGTTAAGCCCAGAAAACCATGGCGATATACGACATGGGTTTGCAAACAAGCAGATGAGAACTGGCACACGTGCAAACTGGACTTGACTAGACTTGTCGTGACTGGTGAACTTGACTTGACTTGATTGGCAAACTTGACTTGACTTAACTTGCGAACTTGACTTGACTTAATTGGCGAACTTGACATAACTTGACTGGCGAACTGGACTTGATTGGATTGGCAAACTGATTATGGCTGGCAAACTAATTCAGGTTTAGATTGGCTAGTGTTGAGAGTATGGAAAAAATCCATTACTAAACAAATGAGATTTTCATATCTCAGTTGTAACAACAAACAACAAAAATAAAACAACTACTATCACTCGAATGATCATAGGTCTAAGCACTCGAGTGACGGTCACAAAACAATTCCTAATAGGCTAACAACTTGCACGGGCCAAAACTAGCTTGACCATTTTTTGCCCTTTGCCCATGTGGGCCAAAACCTCAAACATTTTTTTTTTTACTTTTTCCTTTTCTTTTTGTTTTCTTCTTTTTTTTTCTTTTCTTTTCTTTCTAATAGAAAATTAACACAGCAAAAGCAACAGTGGGTACAGTGGGTACTGGTGAATGGTTCAGACGAACGGCTGGGACTGGGTCGGGTTGCAGCGAGCCTGTGCGAGTCGGGTTGATCAGATGTGTGTCTGGGTTAGAGCACCAAACTAGTGCGGGTTGAGTAGGTATGGTGCATGTATGGTTCTGTCTGTGCTGGTGCTTGGTGGGTGCGAGCAAGTGCAGCAAGGACGGAGAGATTTAGGACTGAATTCAAGCAGGTGGTGAGACTGGTTCGAGGCAAGCGAGATGCAGGTTCAATAGGTGCAGATCAAAATGGTGCAAGAGGATCTGGTACGGCTTGACAGAGATGGGTCAGGTACGGATTGTTCAGTCGTTGTGCCCGAATTAGGGTTTTATAGTTTGAAAAAAAAAAGGAATAAAAAAGGAAACTAAATCAGTTGCTGAACCAACCCTCTGCCCCGTCGTCGCTTGGCCATCGTACCAGACCATCACCATCATACTGCCGCAGCAACTAGAAACCCAGAACACGACCTACTGCAAGCGGCCTCCGCAAACCTGTCGTCCCTCTGTTTCAAAAATCTAATCGAAGTCTATATCCCGACTCGCATTCCGATGCTGCGCCAGACCGTGTCGAACCTGATCCGTCGCCATCCTTGCTGCACCGCTTCTGTCCCGCATCACTGCAATTAGTTCTCGCCGCCACCGTCCATCACCACCCGTTGCCAGACCCGCCTGAACAATCCGCTCCCGACCCATCTCTGTCAAGCTGTACCAGATCCTCTTGCACCACTTCGAATATCAGAGTGCGTCGTAATCAAGACTACAAAATGATAAGAATATTATTAAATAAACAAGAATGTCGAAACGATTACAAAATCACAAGAGGTTACATCGTGACTAACATAATCTAATAACAAGCATACTATTTATAATAAACTAACATTAATCCTAAAATGTAAGAAATCAAAACCCTAATAATACCGAGTTAAGCCCACAAATCCAAACATTCAAATAAATAAAAAAACTAATATTTTTCAACATGGTTGCCATGGTTACCTATGTTAAAGTGTCTGTTACCACCTTCGTTAATCATGCCCTGATTGTCTCTTCCAGTCCCAGATTCCAACAAATCTACC